AAAAAAAAAAACGGTAACCTGGTTGCCGAGTTCACGAAGTGAATTGGCTTGTTTTACAACGTCTTTGCCAAGAGACGAAAACCCAATCCCGATGGCAAACACCGGGGGGGGCGGCTTGTTTTACAACGTCGTTGCCAAGCGACGAAAACCCAACCCCGATGGCAAAACACCGGGTGGGGCGTTTGTTCGGGGGGGGGGGGCGTTTCGACGAATTTCGTTCGTACGGCGTCAGGTGGACCAGTCGTACGGATGGTATTAGAAATCTTGTTATCAGAGATCAGACGTGAAGACAAAAAACATCAGCAACGACAACGCGCGCATCAGAAAGCTGACAGGCAGAGCACGTTTTCCACTTTCGGGCAAGACGACCGGAGAAACTGCTCTGTTCCGCCTCGAGGCTCTAGGCTAAGGTGATGGGTGAGATATGTTGCACAAAAAGGTTGGGTAGATATTGACCCAACCATACCCGACCCCAACCGTAACAACCCCAACCCGCACCCTGAGCAACGTGGGAAAAAGAAAAAGGCTGCAAAAAAAAAAGAAAAGCTAATTTTTTCGGTCGTCATCTGGAATGTTTGGGGTGCCGAAAGGGCGTGTGAAGGGTAACGACCGCACGTGCCTGTCAGAGCGTGTGCATTCATGCTATAATAGCAGAGGATAGCCATGGTCCACATTGCCAGGTGGTGGAAGAAGCAGGCCTCCAGAGTAGGGTCGCGAGGCGTACATGGGACAATAATGTGCTGCTACCACTTCGGTGTACAGGAATGGCATCCGCAAGGCTGTGAACTCTTGTTCCACCTCCAAAAATACGTAGGGCAGGTGTCACGGATCGGCATGAAAAAATTGTGGTGCCGGGATAGTGTATGCTGGTGAACCTCTCATGTTGTCGAGATGTCGAGCTTCAAAAACGAACAAACCGCGAGGCGTACATTACCTACAGCAGTGTCTCTGCGCAACCGTAGGTGACGTGATACATTTTCATACCCCATTCTCGAAGCTCAATTACTCCGCAGCACAGAGAGTGGCGGTGCCGAAAATGCCGGTGTCGGAATCGTCTCGTCGAGAGTTCTCCGTTACCGTGTCGTTTGATTCGTACATTGTTTGATTTGTATGCATACATCCTCTTCATCATGGAGCAACTGACCTCTGTCCAGGAGGTGTGGTATCTTACGACACCTACGGTAGGCAATCGAGCCTTGGGCAGGTGTGCTCACGTGCATACCACTACACCGCCGTCGTTCTTGTGGGACTGGATACCGCCATGGGCCGTGGCGAAACATGAACACGTACAGAAAAAGCTTCACAGCAGTAGCTCTAAGCACGGCTGAGACCGTGCAGCAGTAGTTCATGATGCAGTGGAAGAGAGGAGAGCTACCGGTGTGTAGAATTCATTTTCTAAACAGGAACCGCTGGCGGGAGAGAGGAACAAACACGCCTTGATTCACATCACTATGTTGTTGTTGTTGTTGTCTTCACATTAAAAACCATCCCGGTCTCTCTATCCAGTACCTCCTTCTGTCTCAATCTCTCCGTACTAATCCATCACTTGACTCGGCCAATTTCCGTGGTCACAGGCTAACGTACCTAGAAAAGGTATACCAAGGGTCAGCAGAGCGATAAAATACATGAAAACAATATAGACAAAAAGTTTAGCACCCACCCGGCCGGGAACGAAGATCTCGTGCACACCATTGTCGTGAACCTTTCGACTGCTGTCCATATCAACCCGGCTGCTACCCTTTTGGTCGTTTCAGGCTGTCGGTGGGCCGGGAGTCGTGTGATAGTCTACGCAGCAGAAATGATTAAGCAAACATATGGGATAATAAGTATTCAATCCTTGCTTTGGGGTTAGGGTTAGGGTTAGGGTTAGGGTCTGCGTGCCCCCTCCCTATTCTTTTTCTAGATACTCTGAAAATCCCGCGTAGGCGGTCCGAGTCGTGAGAGGGAGAGCGCCCAGCGCCCAACCCATGGTAATCGTGACAGTCCCGTGCTACCGACGGAAATACACCACCAATCGCCAGCCCGTTCGTCGTTTCTGGAAGACGAACACGCGATTGCTGTACAAGCCAGTAGTTCTTGCGCAAACTGCAAGACATACACACGAAGACGCTATCTCTCTATGAAGTAGGTAGCACCGACCGTGCTCCCCGGATGGGTGGTGACAGGATGTCAGTCTGGTGTGCGTCACGTGTTGGAGCTGCTACTATGTAGACTACACTACTGCTACTGCTGTTCAGCAGGACAAGAAACGACTCCATACATTGGTGCATGGGTCCGAGGCAGTATTGTGTGGTCTAACGGCAAGGTGCAGCACAGCGAGAGTATGCGCCGTTTGACGGAGATCCGGCGCATTTCCATGGTCGGAAGTCTCTCTTGCGCGCCCTGATTCACGAAGCTGGGTTAGGAAAGGTCGTGCCTCGAGCGGAGACTGCGCAGCTGCTCTTGACGCCACTGCTTCCGCGCACGAAGTCGCCGCACACCAGCAGCTGGTTGAGGACGACATTTTGGCGACGTCCAATCACTGTGCCAACGGCTACACCAGCGTGGCATGCCAGGTATACATGGTCGAGCAAACGTATACCCCGATCGGGATCGAAGAATTCGGCGACGGGCGCAGCGCCATCGTTGCACTACAAGCGGAGCTCCGTGTCGATGGTATCTATACCGCATGCATGCAAGAGTTGTATGACAAGTTCGGGTCTCTCGAGGTGTCCGCTGCCGACAAGTTTGATCCCGCGCGCGCGATTCACGAGTTACGCCGCATCTGCATCGAGCTGGACGCTCTAGGCGACAACGTAGTTCCGGCTTGGAAGACACACGCCTTTCTAAAATCGCTCCCCAATCTCCCCCCCGGTGTTTGCCATCGGGATTGGGTT